CCCTCAAATATTAAGACTACATAAATTATATTTATTTTATTTTATAATTAAAATTACAAAATAACTAACTCTTATCGCGTTGGAAACTTTTCATTTCCTATCTCCCCAAAGCCAAAATCGATTGAATTTAGCCTCTGGAAGTATATTCAAAACTATCCAGCCGTAAAAATTCTTCCTTTCCCATGATGTGCCCGTGCTATTCCCTCAAATATTAAGACTACATAAATTATATTTAGTTTAATTAATATTTTATTAATTTATGATTTTTAAAAATTAATTATAATATATAAAATATTAATTTATAAATTGATTTTAATTTAATAAATAACAAATATCAACTATTTTTATTAATTAAATTAAGCTTTTTTTAAAAATAATATTAAAGCTCTTCCCTCAAATATTAAGACTACATAAATTATATTTAGTTTAATTAATATTTTATTAATTTATGATTTTTAAAAATTAATTATAACATATAAAATATTAATTTATAAATTGATTTTAATTTAATAAATAACAAATATCAACTATTTTTATTAATTAAATTAAGTTTTTTTAAAAATAATATTAAAGCTCCTAACATAAAAATTAAAGCAACGTAAAATTAATTATAATAAAAATTAAAGTGATTATTTACTTTACTTTTTTACTAAACAAATCTTAATAAAAAATTTCTTATGCTATGTTTGGGAACATGAATTTGAGAGGAGTGTATTTGAATTTGGTGTTATAAAGTCAAATACATTGTTTGTTTTTACAAAATATAAGTGTATTTGAATTTTAGTTTAAATACATGTATTTCAACCTATGTATTTTAAAGACCAAATAACATATATTTGAAATACCCTCTCATACCTATGAATTTGAGTGAATTTCAAATTCCCTGCTCATTCTCTCCATCTTCCTCTGCTCTTTGAAGAAGCTCCAATGATCACATTCAAAAGTGGTGGGGATGCCAAGTCACTAATGGAAAGGTAATTTATTGCTGGTGATATCGAGATCTCCATAAACTTGGATTTTTTGAGTTGATGACTTGAGAGTAAGCAAAGTAGACAGCGGCCAAGCCAAGGGAAAGGTAGGACTTCTTGCAGCTTGTAGCACCCACGATGACAACAAGCTTGTATCTTTTATTTTCAGGTAGTGGGCGACGGTGATGAGGGTAGCACAGTTCATATCAAGCCGTCGTGAGCAGTGGTAAAAATGCCTATTAATATTGTCTATCAAGTGTTTGTAAAAATGCCTCAATGAGAGGGATTAACATCAAATCAATTTCAATTTCATGGTAGTTTAATTTATCTAAATTATGTATTTTATTAAGTATTTATAATACATGTATTTGAATTACATGTATTTTAAATACATATATTTAAAATACACATATCAAATTCAAATTCAAATTCAAGTTCCTAAACACAACCTAAAAGATTTCAATATAATTATTTACATTAAATTGATATAATTACTCACAATTTTATTATAATTTTTTTTTTTGAACAGTTTTGTCATGGGGCGGGTTCGAAACCCGCCAAGGAAGAGAGATGTGCACTTTTCAGTGGCTTTAGCCACTTAGCCACACGGGCCAAGTGCCACAATTTTATTATAATTAATTATATTTTATCTCAATTTTAATATAAAAATTTTAATTTTATAG